ATATTATATTAAAACTAAATATTTAATAATTTATTATTTTATAAATAAAAAATAAACTTGATTTTTGAATTTTCAAACTATAAACCTGATTTTTGAATTGGTGTAAAGTATACACCTTATTTATGAATTTTTCCCTTACAAATAGCCATAATCAGAGGTCATTAGGAAAAAAATCAGGTTAAAAATTAAAAATACAGATTAATACGCTCAAATTACATGTAGGAGAAAAGAATTGCAATTACATCTAGATCAATTGGCAGAAATTTCTTGAACATGTACATCATTATTTAAATTATTTTTTATATTGTATCATGTGACGACACATAATTCAATAATTCTTTAAAAAAAACACACACACACACTTTTCCATCCACAACTTTTTGCTGTACACAATATGTCACCCCCACAATATACACTTAGGAAGACATATTGTGTACATCTCATTGAAATTCAAAAAGTTGTCGGAAGGAAAATGTATTCTTTTTTAAAAAAAAAAAAATTGTTCAATTATGTGTCGTCGCGTGACACAATGTAAAAAAAAAATGTAAACAATGACGTACATGTAGCATGATTGTTTCTTGAAACCCCATATCCATCCTCCTCAGCCATCAGCCACCGCCACCGCGACGGACCGCCGGAGAATAGCCATTAATTGTGAACTTAAATTTTGGCGGCAAATGACGGCAATTGAGTCTAATTACTGTATATCATATGCTATGCCTAATTTCCCTATATACAGATAGCTGAATATAATCCTTAACGGCTTCTGTATTATTGTGCAGCTAACTAAACTTTCTTAAGGAAAATTAAAATACTACATTGGACGATTTCATATTAATAGGTACTGCTAGTTTGGAGAATATTAGTTTTTGTTATTTTGTGGTAAGGATTCAGCGTGTTTCCAATGGATGAAATTAAGGATTCAGCGTCTTAATCTTCAAGATTCACCATGTACAGAAATCAAGTCCTTCGACACAGCTCCTCCTCTAAAGGATGTTGTTGAAATCCACAGAAAATTAGAAGAATTTATAAAAAGGAATTATTCAACGTCAGGTAAGCATTCTCATCTAATTACTTGGGGTGAATATATATATATTTTTTTCCTTCTGCAGTTCTGGCTGTTCTGCTTTATTATTTCTAATGTAATGTTAACATGTACTACAGAGAACACGAGAACTAGCAGGGTGGTTTGCGTTACATCTGGTGGTACAACTGTTCCTTTGGAGCTGTGATGTGTACGTTACATTGACAACTTCAGCTGATCAAGTCACAGAGGAGCTGCATCCACAGAGTAAACATCATGCTAGGCTTCATTTGTGTTGGACAGTTCTACAATTTACTTATGTTTTGAAGGCTGGATATTCTGTAATATTTCTCTATCGGAGGTAAGTACTTCAGCAATTAGATGAGCTTATATTAAGTTTAATTGAACTACTAATTTGTTCACGAAGATTGACGCAGAATGAAAGTTCTCGGGTTTACCAACGTAATCCCCAACAAAAAAAAAAAAAAATTGTAAATCTCAAGAAAATAACCTCAAAAAGGGAATTGTATTATTTAGAAAAGCAAAGAGACTTTAAATAGTCTCTGAAAACCCTANCTTTAAATAGTCTCTGAAAACCTTAATTTAAGCAAAAAGACCAAAATAAACATCCACTTAATTAAAACAATTAAAAGCGAAAAAAACAAAAACTTCAATTGCCCGGTAGACTACCTTAAACTGCAAATTTGAGGCTGAAAACGACGTCAACCGGGCAACCCAGGTTGGGACGTTGTAGAGCACTGCGAGACGTTTTCGAAAACATATTAAAATAGAAATTTTGACATTGGTGCAAAAAGTTATGCCTTTTTCTTTGAAACAGCTCGTTTTGCCAATTTTCGATCCAATTCTACTTCAAACCCTAACGCCACTTGTCCTACATCAAAGATATATCTTATGATTTTGTTGGCATTGTTAACAGTTTAGGAATACATATGCAGGGGAACCTTCCAGCCATATTGTAGGTCTCTTCAGGATGATCCATTGCTTGAATGTTTTGACATTACCAATGAATCTAATATTGGAGGTTAGCAGTTTATTATCATTCAACCTATTGCATTTCATAGAGAACCATTGGATACGACCACTGTGAAGAGAGCGATTTGATAAATTACTATCAATGCAAAAACATCATGAACTATAAACAGTGCTTAAGAAGGTTATGACTATATTGTAATTTTGTCCAACAAATATTTTTGGAACATATATTTAATCATTTATGGAATGTTATCCAAACTAAACTTCATGCTAATGAATATCTATCTCCTGATATTTTGACCAGTTGCTTGTTTTTGCATTAGATAGAGCAATTTTGGACTATACTTGCTGTAAATAAGACAATATATTCTATTCTTCTGACATCATTTTTCTCAGTAAATGACACTTATGTGCATGTGTGGGTGTGGGCTTCTAGTCAGATACTGAAAGATGATGAACTGTCAATTCTTTTAGAGATTAGGAGCAAAAAGGACCCTTTCGTGTAAAATAGCCAGGTTCTATTTTTCAAGCATTGTGTATCATATTTCTACCCATACCCCATTTAAACTTTCCAGGTATTACTATGCAAATGCTGTTGGTTAGTATTCAAACTCTACACCAATTTTCTACTAAAGAAATGGTTATAATACTTGAAGATAATACCTGATAGAAGGAACCTATAGATCAGTAATCACTCTGTTCTTCTTAGAGGAGAACGTCACATTTTATGAGATGTTACATCCTCGGTAGATGGTTTCTTTCTTGCAGCTCTCCATCTCCGCATGCACCCTTTTTGTTCATTTGATTTTCATTTCTTCATTTACTGAAGACTATTATGTATGGACAGATTCTACAGTTGATTGCATTATCAATGAGGAGCCTCGGATCAAGTGCTATGTTCTATCTTGCAGCTGCAGTTTCTGACTTCTAAGTTCCATGGGAAACCATGGTAATAAACTAACTCTACTGAAGATGTCATTTCATTTCATTTTGTTATTCTGTTAATCTCTATCATGGGTAAATCTCCCTGAAACATTTGCTCAAAGTCAAATCAAAAGGCCTGGCATTTAATTGTGTTGTTTCATGGCTTCGTTTGGTGAAGCAACAGACAACTAGATGTATTTCACTCTTTTTATAATGTCTTGGATCATGTTTAAAGGTCATGGTGAAAGTCAGACTAGTGCTTCTGGAATTTAAAGCTGTCCTTCATCCTTTTACTTTTTGTAAATAGGTATACTGGGCCTAATTTCTCTTTCAAATCACATTTTCCTGATTATAGAAATGAATATCAAGTGAAGGATATCTATTGGTATGAAGATGAGTAACTATGAAATAATACTGATTTGCATTCGGGATGAAATGAGTTCTTGCTTGTCCTGATTCTCAGAAACGGATACATTTTCCTTGTTCATTTTGTCGTTGCTTCTGTAAGCATCACTTAGTGATGAGTCTGATGACTGAACATATGAAATCTACTTCCACTATATTTCTTTTACAAGATCATGTAAAGCACCCAACCGTTGCTTATTCTCTTTCTCTATATCCAAAGAACATAAACTTCTTGGAGCAGGACTTCCACTTGAGGTCTAGGGAATATGTGCTTGAAATGACTCTCAAACTTGTAATGAATTGGTGATATTCATTTGCTGAAGTTTAAAACCTTGTTGTTCATCCAGTTCTACAGTTTTATTATCATAATTAACACTTGTTTGGTCCCCATTATTTTCAAAATACATTTTTCTCTCCCTTATTTTCATCAACATTTTTCAATAAAATAATATTACCTGTAAACCCAAAAATTTTCCTTACTATTCCAAAATATATTTTTGACAAAAGAAAAGGGGCTCAAACAGGCTCTTATTCTGGAAATTGCTCGTATTTTGGGATTGTCGTCATTTTGGAATGTGGTAATCTAATCTCTTATGCATCTTCAAATATGTTTAACTCAATAGTGGCTGAGATTATAGATGATGATGTAGGAGGGTCCGAGTCATATACTAAGTTGTCAGATAACATGTTAATGGCTCTAAGGTATCACAAGTTAGCAGATCGGCGCAAGGATGGCAAGTGATCGCGTAACTTTTGTAATTGAGTCATGTTTCGGTAATTTGGCCATAACTTTGGCTACAGCTATTAGAATCGCGATTATGACCACAATCCGAAAAGCT